CGCCACACCTCGCGCAGCGCGGGCGACACCTGCCATCAATTTATTATGTTAACACTGGGGCGGGCAGCCCTAATTTAGAGATGACACAATACTTTCTTAATATAAACCCTACCTCTAAAACTATTCATATTTAAACTGACTTTGCCGCGAGCTTTATTTACAATGTATTATTAAAAACATTCAAATAAGTTCCCATTTTTTTTTAATATTTCTTTGCTATGTGTTATTCTAGACTACTTACGATTACGTTCTCTACCTATGTCAAATTCATCGAGATCCATATGTCAATATCAAGCATCCATTTAAACATTCGCACTTAAAATATTGCGAAAGTTCAAATGGTTGGATGTTTGTTAGTTTGTAGATTAAACAGCTAAAGGGATCTCAATAAAATTCTGTATCGATGTAGAGATAGTATGAAAGAACACATAGGCTACATCGTTTTGTGTTTTTTTTTGTTAATTCCACGAAAACAAACTCCCGGAATGAAACCAGTTATAATACACATATGATTATTCATTCAAATCTCCATCATTCTTAGAAAAAAACTCTATAAACTAACAGATCACGTTCCAGCAACAAAGAACTTTCTAGACTGACCAAATCATCCTTATAGTGATTGTAAACATGTAGGAACATCTGCGAGACGCGGTGGTGGTCCCCGTCCGCCGCCAGCAGGGTGGCGAGGGCGCCCACCACCCCCGGCCGGTAGCGCACCTCGCTCTCCTCCAGCACCTTGATGGCCGCCTTCCTGTCGCCCTGCAATACAAAATAACTGCCGATTTAATATTTTAATTTGTATACTGTACAAGTGGGTAACAAATAAAGTTATTTTTTGCATCGATTTATGTAGAAAGATGGATGCAAAGAAGTGGCTGATGAAAGATTACCCTGGAAGACAAAAACCTGGTTATTGAATCTTATCAGAATAAGGCAAGGCTAGGAAGATGATGCCCATTTCTTATCTTCAGGTTCTGGGTTCGAATTCCACCATGTACCATTGTTTTACCATTTTCAAAATTTGTACATTTATCTGAGATCTTTACGATGATAACGACATCGTGATGTCTTCATATATCAGCCAGAGATTTAAAGATATGTGTATAATGAACCTGCAGTGGTAAGATGGTGGTTGGTTGCTAGTGGTGGTTTGTGGATGTTTGCTAGTGGTGGTTGGTGGTAGGTTGCTAGTGGTGGTTGTTGGATGGTTGCTAGTGGTGGTTTGTGGATGTTTGCTAGTGGTGGTTGGTGGTAGGTTGCTAGTGGTGGTTATTGGATGGTTGCTGGTGGTGGTTGGTGGATGTTTACTAGTAGTGGTTGTTGGATGGTTGCTAGTGGTGGTTGGTGGATGTTTACTAGTAGTGGTTGTTGGATGGTTGCTAGTGGTGGTTGTTCGATGGATGCTAGTGGTGGTTGGTGAATGTTTGCTAGTGGTGGTTGTTGGATGGTTGCTGGTGGTGGTTGGTGGATGCTTACTAGTAGTGGTTGTTGGATGGTTGCTAGTGGTGGTTGGTGGATATTTACTAGTAGTGGTTGTTGGATGGTTGCTAGTGGTGGTTGTTCGATGGATGCTAGTGGTGGTTGGTGGATGTTTGCTTGTGGTGGTTGTTGGATGTTTGCTAGTGGTGGTTGTTGGATGGTTGCTGATGGTGGTTAGTGGATGGTTGCTGGTGGTCGTACCTGTGCGAGCAGTATCTGCGCGGCGGGCAGCGCGTGGTGCGGGCGGCGCGCGAGCAGGGCCAGCGCGGCGTCGCGGCGGCCGTCGCGCGCCAGCGAGGCCGCCTCCACCAGCGCCGCGCGCGCCTCCTGCCCCAGCTCGCGGGACAGCTTCACGCAGCACTGCTTGCAGAACTCCGGCTACAAAACACAAAAACAATTGATATCCAAAATATTTGCAAAATCTATCTACTTTGTTGTAGTCTAGTGTTACCTAGTTTTGGTCGAGTGTTGCCTAGTTGTAGTTAAGTGTTATCTAGTTGTAGTCTAGTAATACCTAGTTGTAGTCAAGTGTTAGAGACTAGCATTACCTAGATTTGGTTAAATGTTACTTAGTTGTAGTTTGGTGCTACCTTGTTGTAGTCTAGTGTTACTTAGTTGTTGGTTGTCACCTGGTTGGAGTATATGGCCAGTATGGCCTGGTTGTATACGATGACGGCGCGCTGTCGCGAGGTCAGTTTGTGCTCGAGGCCGTCGGCTGTCGCCGCCTTCATGCGCTTGCGGGAGTCGAACACGTTGCTATCCCTGTTACATATGTCACTAGTAAGAATCCTTTCACTTTTTTATCTTTACAACTAATCTATACTACAAGGAGAAAAGATTTGTATTTTTGGATCGAAATAATTCAAAAACTACCGGACAGATTGAAAAAAAATTTTCACCATTAAAAAGCAATGTTATTAGTAACATAGGCTATGTTTTTTTTTATTATTTTTTATTTCACTCGGACGAAGTTTGAAGCAACATCTATAAACTATAAATAGAGGGACTTGCTTTTAACATAAATAAGTATTAAAAAAATCAATCTTCAAGGGGGTTCGAGGTTGAGGTCGCTAGTGGTGTACCTGTTTATAACAACGAGGTTGTTGCTGGCGACGGCGACGAGCGCCTGGTCGGCGGGGCGCGCGCGCAACACGGCCTGGTACAGCGCCGCAGCCTCCTTATCGCGGCCCGCGCACTGCAAGCTGTACCCCTGCTGCACCCTGATATGCAACGCAACACTTACTATATGTCATTTTTTGTATTAGGTGATATATTAGTATTCGGTGACCTGAATTCACTGAAATACCAAAGCGACGGCTACACATAGACCTAATTCTAGTCCCTTTCCACCTTCTTCTTTAGAGGAAAGGAAAAGTTAATTTGACGTTGGGAGGCGTATTTAAAGGGGAAATATCCTCTTTATATGCGTCTCATCCGCCATCTATTAAATGTAGGCAACATATTTGCAATTGTGGATGTTTATGGGCAGCGATCGCATCGCCATTTCAGCGAAAACAGGTGGCCGCTTGATCATTAAAAAGAAGATGTACATTTGCAGATCTGTTAATTCCTTTAATCAACAGGAGGGTATGCACGGAGAGGTTATTTCCGTTACCTTATTCGTTCCCTGCCAAATCTGCCCCTTACCTACTTCAGAGACAGAGAACAGACTTGGGCATGGATACTCATCGAAGTGTAAAATATATAATTGCAGGCAATACTACTGTTAAAAGATATATCCCACAGTAACTAAATTCGCACCTGATAATAGCGGCCTCTTCTCTAGCCTCATCCTCAGTGCCGCCATCCTCTAGCACACTTTCCATACATGTTTGCTCCGCACGCTTCAGCACCGGCAATGCCTCAGTAAACTTACCGCGCATTACAAGTGTGCTACCCGCATTGTATTGCAGCTCATATGTATTCTCTTCAAATTGAGGCAACTCTGCATTCTATAAAAGATTTTGCTTAATGTGAGACAATGACCAATTTGTCTTATAGTCATCATTACCAGCTCATTTTACATCTTTACTAAGCCAGGAGTGTATCCTAAGTTAGGAATGACTATGACTTTGTTGACTGATATTGTGCATTGTGTATTGCAATGTTTTTTTTTTCACTATAAGAATGTAAATTATGTTCATACAAAATTAAAAAATAGAAAATCATATTAGTACATGGTTGGATTCAAACCCAGGACCTGTGGATCTGTGGAATACAATTCCAGCCCTTTCACCCCAGAGGCACCAACACTCACTTGCATTAAAGTAATCATTACAAAATATAACTATGCATATACTAACGGGGTTCAATGCGGCCAGGTTAGCCACAACAGCAGACATATTGGCTTTCCTTTCATCTTCATAATCATCGGTGGTGTTCTTCACAATATCACGGTACAGGTTGTAGCAGTCTTGGTACTGTTCTAAACGGTATAATATTTGAGCCCTAAAAAGAATTACATTTATTTATAAGGCCAGTGTTGTAACTGATAATAATTTACTGTTTAAATATTGATAAATTAATCTTATGATTCACAAAACAATTATGGGGTTTAAAAGCAAATAAGCTTTAGTTCAAATTTTGAGTTTTTTACACTGTGTATACTAAATTTTTGCTAGTTATGATTGACAAAACAATTATCTATACTAATATAATGAAGCGTAAACACACACTACTTAGTGGTGTGTGTTTATGCTTGAGACATGTGACGTGTGTTTTGAAGGTGTGAATTACAAATGATATTGTGATTTATATCTTGATAGATAATAATTCAAAGCTAGTTGTATGTATTGTAATGTATTTAGTTTTTCATACCTTAGTTCTTTCAAGGCGAGTGTCAGCTCGGGAGCATTATCCACAGTCTGTAAAGCATCCTTGGGGCAATTGAGACGATACTGTGTGTAAGCCTTCTCAAAGTGCAAGTCCGCAGCAAGAGCAGCATTCTTAGGGTTGTTAAGAACTGCCAATGCCTCCTTGAAGTTGTGGAGCTGAATGAAGCAGATTATCTTGCAGTGGAACGCCTTTTGCTCCGTTGGGGATATCTGCAAGACTGAAAAAAATTTGGTTGTTTTTTTTATGGTTACATTTTATGATCCTATGGCATTAGGGGCTTCGTTTTCTTGATTTCTTTAATTTGAATATATTAATTTGAATTGTAAATTTTAATGTAGACGATCGTGAAATGCACAGATGTTGACAAATAATTTATGAATAAAAGACTTAACATATGAGAAATTTAAATGAATTATATATTGTTCTTACTTTTCCCCGCAGATTTTAATGCTCTTTCATAATCTCCGCTTTGACAAAATTTATTTAATTCAATGTAGCCCTGAACGAGGCTACTTTCCTTGTTGGCTGACATTTTTTGACAGATTGCAAGTTGGCACTTGAGCTGTCATGGATTTCGTCACTTGATGATGCGTTTAGAAACTAGCGAATTTACTATTTAAGTTTAAAAAATAAAAAAAAGCACTTTTATAAAACAAGACAATAAAACACATTGTATTTTAATTAGAGAGCGCAATATGAAATGATTGATTTAATCACTGAAAAATTTTACCTTAGTTTGTCTTGAGCAAATTTCGAGTGAGTGTATGTGGGCGCAATTTCATTCTCGTCTCTTTTGTAACGCCCCTAAAAAAGTAAATTTATACAAAAACTTACTCTTGGTTAATTTATGTTTATTTTCCTATTTGTGGTAAATTATTTATCATAAGTCTAAATGAGGTTAAAAAGTATGATCTCACATATCTAAGTTAGAGTGTTATTCGGAGTAGAAGTTCTTCATTTTTGACATTGGATTAATATATCCATTTTAAAATATCACAAACATACAAATATAAAAGAAGCAACCTGAAAATCTTAAAACCACTGAGTTCGTTTCTCTAAACTCATACATGTTTTGCCGTATTGCGCTCTAAATAGAGACGGTTAAAACTTTAAATTTAACGCCTCAACAATTCTATCTTCAAGCAGACAGGTATCGAGTTTAGATTCAATCTGAATCGAGTTAGTTTAAAGTATTTCTTAGCATCGAAGCGGCTAACTCTCCAACTTATAATGACGGTTGCATTTTCGCTTGGGAGGTTTATAAAATGGTATTTGAAAAGTTCGGGCGATGAATAAGGACGGATAGATTCCTCCCGTGGGAGTCGTAAATATCGATTTGGCTTTAAGAAGGTTTGTGTTTACATAAAATTTTAATAGTTCAGTGTTACATTTTGTTTTCTAAGTAGCCTATCTATTATTTAATAATTTAAGAAATCAGGATTAAAGGAAAAAAATACACTTTAGGTTGCCTCATAACTAACATTATTAAAAGCTTTTGCGACTTTTAAAAGTGAAACATTTGGACAGGCAAGGATTGTATGAATTCTCTGGCGGGAGTTAGTGTTGCCAGTTGTTGAGTGAGTTGAATCTGCACTACTGCTCAACTGTACTGGCCAAGTGTGAATTACGGCCTTCACTTTCAAGAGAAAATACAATATTTGGAAACGTTTCATAACGACGCTATAATATTTAAAGAGAAAACATTACATGAAGTATAATCACAAATGGGATATCTCAGTAAGAAGTTTTCATTAAAAATAATTAGTCATTTAGTATTTGTATTGGCACAGTTTCTTTATAGGATTGGCGTTTAATTTCCCTTAATTTCCGGCGTGGGTACGGTCCGCACAAACGCTCATAGCACGGACACTGTCTCTGCTGACTGCGGACGCGATCGCATCTTTATTGAGCGCACTTCCAATTCAATACAAATAACAAAACATTACATTATTTTGTTGTTGTCCAAATATCTTTTATGAACTAAGATGTGCTCCGGTTTTGTCATTATTGTATACGAAAATTTTGTAATCTTTCGGATACTCGATATTGTGGATTGAAGTGTAGGGAAATTAAAATGGTTGGCACATCTATAAAAAAATAAATAAAAAGAAACCACGCGAAATGTGTATTTTTTTTAATTTCTGTGTGTTCTTTGAATTGTTTTAGTTTTTATAGGCAAGTCGACATGTGTGAATGGTTTGTGTTAAACGTCGCAACGTCGGCGGGACCCTTTTAAATCAAATTCCGCGCAATTTATCAGCCTGGGACGGAATAATACACGTATCCTCTCTAGCCCCATATGTATTGCGACCCTCGCCTACGCTGAAAAATTTAATATAAGCGATACAAACTATTCACTAGTTATACAGAAAACTACATGTATGTTTGTTGTGCCTTATGACGTCATAATACTTTCGTGGTCGAGTGCTAAAAGCTTATTGTAAAAAAAATCTACATTAAATATTGTTTGTTAGTTTTCACCTAATTTCTATTGCAGTTTCTGTTTCTTTAAATATTACATTTACCAATGTTTTTGTGGACAAAGTTATTTTATATTTCTATTTAGTTAGTGCTAAAATAAGCATTTATATGTCCATGTCATTTATATAAACTTGTCATAACATTAAAGTCAATTTGTAGTCAGAGAAGAAATAAGCGAAATAACAAACAGCATTTCCGCTAATTTCCTCAGCGGGTGTCATCTAAGGGGTCCGAGACCTGGGAGGGGGTAGAAGTCCTTTCATACCAGACAGGATCTCATTGACGTCGCTAATTCAATTACAAGTCTTAGGAAAATTCTATAAAAGTTTATATCCTTGATGCTTTCTCGCAATATAATATTTACGTTAAGGTTGCAGGCATTGCAATCTTACTAATAATATAAATGCGAATGTTTAGATGGATGGATGTTTTTTAGTGTTTGTAGCCTAGACTAAACAGATCTCGATGAAATTTGACATACATGTAAGAGATACTCTGCAAGAACACTTAGGCTGCTTAGTATTTTTTTAAATTGCATGCGGAAGGAGTCAAGGAGAAAGAGACAGTGATACGTTAAGTAAAAAAGTATCCAATTGTTTAAACAGTAATTGGAAAACTAAAACTTGTACTAAATCACTGGATTAAACGTATATCTTTACCGGCCAGTGTTTAAGCGTTGCGATCCGTTTCACAAAACTTTGGAATCCCAGTACAACAGTAACAGAATCCACGATTGCGCTCGTATCCAACTTTACTGTGGTTACTATCGATTCGAGACATAGCTGAGATTCCGAAAGTTTTTTTGTGGTTACCCCATTTTAAAATAGCGATCAACAGTACTAAAATGGCGAAATCAAATAAACACAAAATACCACTGCTTAAAGCCTATCCATTATTAGTAGTCAGTGTTATACAAGCTGGTATATACTCGTAATTTTCTTCTTAACTTATAAACCATCAACTTTTTATTTCGCCATTGCACATTTCCTAATCTTTCGTGGACCCCAGACCACTTTGACAATTAATTAAATAAAAATTTTAGAAAGGTCAAGCATAAAAAAAACACTTCGCGATAACTTCTAAGTAAAATTTTAGGTTATAGTTATCAGTTAGCGCGAAGCCATCGTGTTCGCGTGTCCCTCTCATCCCTTAGGAATGTGACACTGACGAGTGACGACGTAAAACAACCTGATACGAATGGAACGGTTACTTAGTTATTAATATTAACTTACTATATTTCAAAATGAAGAGCTTCAACTTACCTACATGTGTTGAATAGTGTAAATATTATGTATTACACTTTGGTCCTGTACCACCAAATTGTAAATTGTCTGATAACAATCCAACGTGTAAAATATGTGATGGAAATATCGGATTTTATTACTTTATCAGACATTGACGACATTATAAAGCTATCTGAGCCTCTATTTGTCAGTGGGACAGGCCCTAATAATTAGTGCTACTTTTTCGTATTTTATATCAGTCGTAAAACATCAAGACCCGCGTCTTGTTTACAGAATTTCCGTTTGGATATTTATTATTGCCGGAGGACTAATTCATGTCCCTTTTCCTTTCTATTTCTCTCTTAGGTGTAAAGGATGAGAAGAAAAACTGGATCTGACAGCGGAAGAAACGCACAGAAAGGTGAAATATCCAGTTTATGTGTGCGTCCTCTTCCGTTGATTAAGGGTAGGCAACGCATCTGCAATTGTGGATGTCTATGGACAGCGGTCGCTTCATCATTTCGGCAGATTTAGATGGCCATTTCCTCGTTTGCCACCTTATAATATAAAAAAGAAAAAAGCTTAATTTAAAATAATGAAAAGAGTAAATTAGGCAGTTTAACAATTTAAGACGGACGACGGAAACTTTAGTAAATAAATTTCCGTTACCATACTGTTTAACTTTTAGCCGGTCGCGACAACTTTTTATTTACCAGGTCGTTTAGCTACAGCAAGGTCCACACCGCGCTGGATTATCATACAAATAGGTTTTACTCAGCTTCTACGGCGCCGCTAATTATTTTGCAAAGTGCAATTTATATTAAACAAGCTTTTGCTGGAGTTTTCTCTGTTGCAAGATTTAGCGCTTGTTACTTCTGAAAGTGGGTTAGAGAATGTTATTTTATACATACAAAGCACGTCACAAGAAAGTAGAGGAAGGCCAAAATGTATGTAGGAGTATTTATTGTTTAAGATAAGGTATTGAAATGTAATGGCTAATAGAAAAATATGTTAAAAGGCATGTATACATATACTGATCCAAGCTGCTTACAGAAAGGCCAGTGGCTCCGGAGATGTTACCTTATTTTCAGCTATGTAATCTAGTAACGAAGGTTTCTTGCATTCTTACAACAGTGGACTTTAAAGGTATAATATCAGTTTGTATGAAATTCTAACCTCCAGTCCTAACGTCAGTGGTTCCACTCCTATATTTGATAGAACAGTTAGTATTCTTTACGTCATTGCTTGGAGTACAGCCAGCGTCGTGTCCCGAGCTGAACACCGTGACGTCATTGACAGCGGGTGAAATGCATTTATTCTCTTAAAAATAAATATTTGAAATATTTATACCGTTCGAAGAAATAAACCTAATTTTCTTCGGAATTCTAGCGGAATTGTACTAACAAGGACGTTAGTAAGTTTGGAATAGATATTAAATACGTAACTTTACAGGATTTCATGCATATTCGAGTAATAGCCAACGGTCAAACCTGTTATTAAATAGCGACAGATTGCCGGACCTATTACAAATTCACACATCAATTAACTACAGAGCAATTAATGTTGCAAGAGATGGTTAGAACCTTATGAAATTTGTATTATTGTAAAAGACGTACTTAAAACCAGACAATTCTAATTGTTACAAGATTGCGAAAGGTCCTATTGAAAATGTTTAAGTTTCTAACCAATTCTAAACATCCATCTCTGGGTCCACATCTCTATCTGTTAGGTCTAACTGGTATCTGGCAGCCAGATGAAAAAACTCAATTCACGCGTCTTAAAATGATTATATTCTACATTATTGTAGCATTTTTCTCATCTCAGTATATGAAATGTATATTATATCCCAAAATAGAATCGATACAGTTAATTCTTCAATATGTACCTTTCCATCTTGGTATTGTAAAGGCTTGCTACTTCCGAAGGGAATCTAAAACTTGGTCTTCGCTTGTTAATTTTCTATCCCAAGTAGAATGCAAACAAATAGAAGGAAAGGAAGAAAAAATGATCACAATCGTGGAGAGTTATATTCAACGCAATCGTCGGATCACTTATTTCTTCTGGGCGTTGGCTTTCTTTTCTAACTTCAGTATTTTCTCCGAACCTTATGCCAAAAACAGAATAATAGAAAATGGCACTAGTATATATTTAAATATTTTCGATGGGTTTGTTCCTTTTGGCGGTGAACCACCAGGTTATTACATTTCAATGGCGATACAAACGATTCTAGGACATATTGTTAGTGCTTACGTTATAGGCTGGGATACAATGGTTGCTTCTATTATGATATTTTTTGCTGGTCAACTGAAAATGTCTCGGTCACACGCTAAGGAAGTTGTAAAATCTGACACTGTAGAAACCCATCGGAGTATTGCAAATTGTCATAAATTTCACGTTGAATTAGTCAAGTAAGTGGAAATGAATTTTGAAATGTAGATTGTGATGACAAGCCACTTATGATTTTTGATATATTTGTAGGCATCAAAGGATATTCAATGGTTTGATATCGCAAGTAATGTTTGTCTATTTGATAGTTATTTCGGTTAATTTGGGAGTTTGCATCATCCAGATTGTTGAAGTTAGTAGAATTAGTTTCCTTAAATGCTGTTTATTTTTGCTTTTTTAATTAATTTAGTTTGTTCATTTCCATCGCTGCCTGTATTTTTTTTTGTGACTGTGTTGGTATAATATTTATACGTATGTTGCAGGTGCAAGATGATTTGGCGATGCTTATATCGAGTTGTTTGTTCGTGGTGGCTTGCTTGATACAGTTGTTATTATTTTATTGGTTCAGCAACGAGGTAACTGAAGAAGTGAGTAAGGCACTAAAATCTTGAGGAATTATAAAGCATTACGTGTGATTTGTTATTTCCATGATCATGGAGAAATTGAAAATATTTCTTATTCTTTTAACGAGAGTAAATCAAAAAGAATTTACGGTATTAAGTACTTTACTTTGTAAAGGCTACTTTAATTACGTTTCGTGACTTTTTCGTGTTTTAGAGTTTGAAGGTGAGTTACGGCGTTTTCGAAAGTGATTGGGTGAAATGTGATAAACTTATACAGAAAGAGATTCACCTCCTTGGACTGACATTGAGTAACAGGCTTGTATTCAAAGCTGGACCATTCAACGAGATGTCACTAACCACTTTTGTTTTTGTAAGTACTATAATAAAAAAAGATTTACAGAGCTCAATGATGATTGTGCAAGTTAATGTTTTAAGACAAGTATTGAGACAGAGGAAGAAAGAGGGGTCTAGGGAGGGTTTAGAAAACGAATTGAAGATATGTACTTTTACTCCAAGAAACTTTAAGCGAAAATTAAAAACTGTTCAACTCTTGTTTTTGTACTCCGGTGAAGGCACCGACTAGTTTCTGACCCTTCGGGGCTCCTGCTTCAGGGCGAGTATTAGTTAGCTTTTGTTTGCGGTCTGACACTGACATAGAGTGCGAGGCGCGACGTGAAGAAGGACCCCCGAAAGGTCTAAAACTAGTCGGTGCCGTCACCGGAGGATAAAAACGTGAGTTGAGCCGTTTTTAATTTTCGATTAATCTTTGATTATGATTTATTAATCCATCTTTTATTTTCACAGATTTTGAGGACAAGCTATAGTTTCTACACGCTTTTGAATAAGACTAATTAAATCATTCAGTTTTGTTTTAAACATTTTCATAATTACAGTTTATTAATGTTTAAAAACAATGTCATTATTTGTGTTTGCTATTAAGTACCGCAGATATGTTTGTGTGACATTTCACGAGAGTCAGATAAATATTTCTAGTTCAATATTTGCGTCGCTTGGCACCCTTCCTGACTCCTGTCTACGTGTCATAGGTGCTCTGTAAACCTTGATGTATTTAGATGCAGGATTAAAATTATTTTGGCAAACAATTGCAAATAGTTGTTTATATGTAAAGAAATTAGCTGTTTTAACTGTAGTTTTTTTTTTAATTTGCTTGCTTCTATGCCTTAAAATGTCTTAAACACTAAATTCATGATGTGTTGGTATTTGTAAATCTACAAGCCTGTGAACTTTCGAAAAAGAGTGAATAAGTTCAAATTAATATTTTTGCACTTGGTCGGAGAACAGTGTCGAGAAGTCTGTAACAAATTTAATTAATCTTTTTTATATGTAAATGGACTGATAGACAAATTTGACAATTTCTTCAAAGCCAAGAAGGACATAAAATGTGGGTATGTTTTTTACGCACGAACAGCAAGAACATGTTTCCGTTGAACAATATACTTTTCAACCAAAAAAAAGTTCGCGAATTATTCGTTGTCGTCACCAACGACCGTATTATTTTCTGGGATTAGATAACGTTAATATGTAATCTTGCCCAACTATCGAAGGTACAAGCTGATACAATAAAATGTATGCCCAAAGTAATTAATGCATACGGAGTAAATTAACGTAATGAAAATAACTATACATCAGTTGTGAAAACTATGAGTGCGAAGCCCAGCTACCGCTGCGCCCGCGCGTCAACTTGGCGATGGCGGCGCGATGTTGCGCGGCGTTGCCAGCCCGCACGGTGTAGCGCGGCGTTGCCAATCCGCGCGTCCCTCGGAGTGACCGGCTTACATTCCTTAACGTTTAATAGCGAAATATTTTCGCCGAAAATATGTGAAAAGGCGGGAACACGTAATAAAACAAACTTTATTTAAACTTCATTTCTAAGTATTCTAAACATACACAAATACCGACAATATGTTGCTCTCTCTTTCTAAAATTTCAAAGGTTTATGAAGTAATTTTTTCATTAAGTTCGCCCTACGGAAATTTACATATAAATCCATGAAGTTAGCAAAATAATTTGACAAGCGACAGAGGCCGAATCACAAACCATTTGTATGTTAATTCTGACAGTGGCTGGTTCCTGACGAGTGGTACGAAATTGAAAATTCTTCTAAACAATACAACTTTAAACTTCTCCTACAAGTCGAACGGGACTATTTTTATAGATTGGATTACATTAATACTTTTTCTTGTCTAAATGAGATTTAAACAGATCTTCAAATGTCATTTCGTATCGATTACTGTTGTATCGATGTCTTTTAAAATGCTTTCGAAATGCTGTTCAAATCTTATCATAAATATGCATATCTGCTAAAATAACATTTCAACGGTAAACCAATCCGAACATTATCTAAACAGAGTTTAACTCTCCGGGAGCTTATGAATCCGCTCGTTGTCGGCTACTCAAACTTTATTGAAATTAAGCTCGCATTTCTCGATAATCGATTTGAAGTCGAGTCGAGTACTCAATCGCAAACCCGTTGCAAATTCGAGTTAGATATTCCAGGTAGTGGAGAATGATCGGTGCACTAACAAGTTTGTTTAATCAATATTATGAAGTGTTATTCAAATACGTAAATAAGTTAAAAAAATTTACATCTTTCCTAATAGATATTCTAAAATGTTTTATTATAAATCTATAGTAATTGGCAACTACAAGTCGGCAAAGACGTTCCGTGCGAATTGAAGATTCCTAGAAGTCATCGTAACTCCGCACAGAAGCATTGTTTAGAACTGAACAATGTTCCTAACACTGATCTGTTGTAAAGATTTACGCCTGGGATTTGCGACCGAACTTTAAACTACTTGAATAGTAATTTGGAGTTGGGTTGTAACGGAACTCCGCTTCCGCATCCGTAAGTGCGGAACTTCCGCAAGACGTGATAACTCCGCATCCGCTTTCATTATTTGTAATGCGGAGTTATAACGGAGGTTAATTTACGTCTTTAACGCGAGTGGGGCGATTAGGTATAGTTTATGCGGCCCGCGCGGGCGTGATATGTCAACTAACTATAATTGTTATATATTATATTAGCATAATAAACTGTATCTTGTAATTATGTACCAATCTGTATTTTTAATTAACGTAGTGTTAGTTTTTATTTCTATAATAAATCGAAATTAATATTTTATTATTGACTGCACCGCACCGCATCGGCATCCGCTTCCGTTAAATTGGCCTCCGTTACAACCCTAATTTGGAGTTTAAGTAACTTAGAGACTTGTTGGCAGCATTACGATATTTGTATTATTTTATGTTCTCGATCATTCGATTCCAAAATATATAGATAGATGCGTGTGTTTAAAAGAATGAAAAAGGAAATTGGATATAATCCTATCAAGTAGAGAAGTCTATTGCGTCACAGGAAACAAGTGTTGAAGAATATCTTCACTTCACCTAGGCGTATAATCCTTTGTACGCTGTTTGAGGTGGAGTTATCAATCAATTAAGATAATTCTTAAGACCGGGCGTATACCTTTGACTAAACTATCGTACAACCGTTGTGCGATTCGATTGTTTCGAAACCAATTCAACTGTTTAATTGCAACTAAAAATCGTGTAGTGTGTGCACTTCCTTATAAGATCATAGGTGAAAGACTAAACAGTTGTGCGACAGTTTAGTTTCAGGTGTGCGCATGCTCCGTAGATTTTAATATGCAACAGATGTAGTTGTTTTAGCAGAAATATCACATACAAAGAGTTGTGCCTCACTATTTATATGAAAAAAACCATTAATTGAAGGTAAAGATAAACTCTACGCGAGGGTTCATTACGCGGTAGAGCGGGCGTCGAGTGCGCAGAATGATTCTCCACTCTACCCGCTCTTTACAGACCTTACCAAATTAAAATGCTTTGAAAGTAAATACTCCTGCAACTGGGAATTGAATGGCTTTTCATTTTAATTATATTATACCATAGACATGCTGTAAGTATTCAAAGATGTTTATAATTTATATCGGTTTCGTATTTACTAGTGGACCATAATCCTTACATTTATTCAGAAATAATTCAAATTTTAGTAATATGCTCTGTTAATCTTTACTAATATTATAAAGAGGAAAGATTTGTATTTTTGTATGCATTTAAATAACTCAAAACTACTGGCCGATTTAAAAAAAATCACCAATAAAAAGCTACATTATCAGTTAGTAGCATAGGCTATGCTTTGTTTGACTCCACGTGGGCGGAGTCGCGGGTAAAAATTATAAAATAATTTACTACTGAGTAAAAAAGAACAGTACTACGATGGCAATATTTTGAATTTAAATTTCGAACATCCATTCGTTTAACTTCGTAAATTTTAATCGAATATTGCTAATGAAGTTTTCCAACCAGTCTGTTTATTCGCTTATTTGTAGCATTTCTGTAAGCGATTGGTGTTCCAGCTAGATACAGAACTTTCATAACTGGCAGCTAAACTTCCTGACAGCTTTGTAGCGAAGTTATGCTGGTTTTGATAACGTTTAGGTACTGTCCACTGATAGCTTATATCGATGAAAGTATCGAGAATTGACATTTGAATTGCTAAGCTGCATGAGCATTATAAATATTATAAAACTATATTGAATAACGACCCGATTTATTGGTCGGTTTCTCACCTATATTTAACTATTACTTAGTGTTTTTTAATCGATAATTTCATGAATTTCCAAACTAAGAAACTTGAGTTTTACTACGTTGAAACTTTGGTCAATTCAACACTAAGGAATCACTAAGTATTGATAAAACGGATACTTCAGCAACCAATAAGTGGCAGGAATTAAATAATCGATGGTGATCTTTATCATACCATGCGTATTTATTTTAGTAACTAGTTTTTGTCCGCGACTCCGACCGCGTGGAATTAAAAAACCAAAGTAGTCTATGTGTTTTTACAGATATGCTCTACATCTAGTCACTTTTTTTTTAGGTAGATCAACAGGTTTATATAATTCAATAGTTTAAAATCTTTAGATCGCTTGTACACCCACGAACATCTCCATAAGCAGACTTTTGTTGCCAGTTCCTCCCAAATTAGAATAAAACCACAAACACTTGACACTGGCCCAATCCGCTGTGGGCTGTGGGAGAGCCATAAACAAAATAGAATAGAATACATCTTGTCAAATTTCATCGAGATCCGTTCAATCGCTAAGGCGGCAAAATTTAACAAACATTTTCCAATGTAAACATTCGCTATAATATTAATAGGATTGTCTGTCTGATTTTAAACAGATTTAGTAAACTATGCCTATACTTTTTTTACCGACTCTATTCGTCTGTATGTTTTTTTTTAGTGCAACTTGTCAAGAAAAATTACCCAACTATCTATGAAAATTCAGAGCATTAAAATAAATGGTTTTCATGGAATAACGGTTAGTTTGTGAATAGTTTCATGTGTATGGCTTCCAGGTATTGTTCATTAAGAAGGTCCGCATTTGTTGCGAGTAATGATCGCTCATTATATCTCAAACAATGCGTCAAACTTTGTCCATACGTGACTACGCTGTAATTAGAAACGGCGAATTATTTCTTTATTATACGAAAATGCTTTAGCAAGTTACCTCCAATATTGTAGCCTAATTATGAAGAGAAAAGATTTTTAATTTTGACTGACTTCCCAAAAAAATACGCGTGAACTTCCGCTTACAGATTCTCTCGCACTAACCGTCGGATGAATTAGGCTTCCTATTGGCTTATTGTTTTATATTCACAAACGTCTAATTTCTTCTATATATGCGGTACCCCGTCTTACCTCTCTACCCCGTCATGCCCCCCCTTCCCCTACTCAATTGGTCTTTACATTTTTTGGATTTCAGTATGTATCGTTTTCAAGAAGTCATCAGCAACAGTTATTTTTACTA